TCTAGCCAAACAGTCTAGAACCGTAAAAAAGGTTCTTAAAATGGTACCGAAATCTAGAACCATAAAAGGTTCAAGATCGTTGCTAGAACCTTTTCTAGTTCCCTATTGCACGTTTTTTTTAGAGAGTAGTGGTAGCCTGATAAATAATTTTATCAAAGGATTTAATGAATAAATAATTATTCATATAATTTATTTAGTAGAAATCCGACAAAAGTTGTTAATTATATAATTTAAATAGTAGCATTTATCAGTTTGCTAAAAGACATTGAATGGTTGAGAACTATTGCGATATTTTCTCATTGTTATTCATACAAACTTTAGAGAGATAGGGATTATATGCCACATGTTAAATTAAATTTTCGTCTATTTTAACGTCATCTGGACATTCTTTGTCAAAAAGTCTAACGAGGTTTAAATAAATAAAATATAATGTAAAGTGACGGTTTCAATCACATGATTAACTCTTCTAGAGCAACTATTTTCGAAATAAAATCGCGTCTGAAACGCGAGAAATGAACGCGTGCAAAGGCGCTTAGAAATATGATCGCATCGGAACGCGATTGAAAAAATATTTGAAATCCGTTTGAACGCAGTTAGTAGATAAAATGTATTCAAACGCGTCAAGTGTTTTTCAAACACGCGTTCAAAGGCGATTCATTTTTTTCTAATTGCAGTTAAACGCGTTTTATGGAAAAACTGCGTTTAGACGGGTTTCAAAATTTTTTTTAACGCGTGTCAATGAATTCCGTATCAAATCGCGTTTGCATGCGTCTTGGAAACGATTTTGAATGCGTCTCAACGCGTTTCATTACCAAACCGCGTTTCAACGCATCAATTTTGCGTTTCGTGTTTACATGGGCGAGAATAAATATTAAAAAAATCAAAGTTCTTATATTTTCTGAAACGGGTTTCCATTTGGTTCAACAACAAAAGTTTATAGATGCATGTGATGAACGAAACCTGTCTTCATTTTCTTTTGTAACTGACGTGAATCTGTTGATTTTCCATGTGACTTGAACTGGAAAAAAGTGACGGTGTACTGGTACGATTAGGACACAAATCGACTGAACCACAACCTTACGAATCTAAGAGTTCTTGTAAATTATCATTGGTCACAAATAGATTTAGTGAATCAATTTCAGAAAAAATCCTATTATTTTTCGTTTATATACTAATGGATTCTTTTGAGTGAACCGAAGCTGTTTCTGAGAAAAATTTAATCGGAGATTGGATTCTATTCGCAAAACAATTTTCGATATATATAAATAAAAAAAATGAGAAGTTTTTTTAGGATGTCCTCAAAAAGAGAATTCATATTCACTCCATAAATGGACTGAAATTGATTTAAATTTTATTGAAATCCAATATAAACAGATTTGAATCCGAATATCATCTATCGAGGGGTGTGAGTATAGATGCTAGTCTTGTTTCATCGAATTCCGATCCACATTCATACTCTAACATATTTTTCACCCCAAATCGAAAAATATATGTCTATAGATTCATTCCTGTTAAGTTATGGCATAAAAACGGCTAACCGTTTTCTTTCTAAGTAATATGAGCCAGTACTTTACATTTCTCTGATAGAGAAGCAGAAAAAAATTGTTTCGGCTCATGTTATGTATTTGGTCGATTTTTTATCAGATCTTATCTGTTATCATAGGATGTCTGTATCAGAACAACTTCATGAAAAAAAAAATGTTCGAGCCACTACCATTGTTGATTCTGTCGACTCCATTACATATAACATTGTAGTTTCAACTGCTACTTTCATAAAAAAAAGTATGCCCTATTTTATGCGCATTATACATCTGAGAAAGAATTTCGCAGATAAGAAAACAGAAATGAGCGCTATTATATCGAATTGAATAGATTGAGTAGAATGTTAATCTTTGTACTGATTTTAACGGTAACGGTAGAAAACTGGTATCCCACTATTTATATTTATCCCAATATTGTGTATAACATTACTACGCGAGAATATTGAGATAGAAGAACTCACTACAACAATGTTTGAATCTTGATTCTATCTCATGAAAATATTTTGATTCTACTATTCCAAAGCTGACTAATATCAATTTGAAAATGAGTAGTTCTTCTGTAAATTTATTGCAGACTGATGATAAAGTAACAGAATATTAGCGGTTGGACGGAACCAACAGTGTCTAGTATCAATAAAGGATGAAGAGTGCTCATAAAGGTATACTGTCACTGAGATAAATGCTAGCAGTACAGAGAGCTAGTTGGTAATCACACGATCCTTCTAACTTACTTTCAATCTTATTCCATCCTGTTCAAGGCCGAAAACAGATGAAAGTAATCTCTCATCTGTCTCCTTTCTGATGATATTATTCACACAGCAGGTAAAAGTAATCTAGGAATGGAAATAGTGAACTAGAAGCTAGTGAGAAAAGAATTAAGTGTGATTGTTCTTACATACTAGACCTATTTCGCGATCAAAACTCTTTAGAAATAAATGAGGCAACAGTCACTATAGTAATACATTGAACTTGACTTTTTTTAAATTTTCTTCATAAACTACTGAGTTCTTTTAATGGCTTGCCATGTATGTGTTACTTGCGGTCTTCAATATCCATTCGCATCATCAACACCTTCACATTGCCTCATATGTGAAGATGAACGACAGTATGTTGGCAGAAATGGTCAAGAGTGGATAACGCGCGAAGAAATGTTGGATAAATATGAAAATAAGATTAAATGCGAAGAACCCAAATTATTTTCAATTTGTACTGAGCCGTCATTTGCCATCGGTCAGCGTGCATTTTTAGTGCAAACATCATATGGTAATATTCTCTGGGATTGCATCTCATTACTTGATCAAAATACTATTGACTATATCAAGAAATCTGGTGGTCTCACTGCAATAGCCATTTCTCATCCCCACTTTTTTACTACAATGGTAGACTGGAGTCATTTGTTTGGTAATATTCCTATTTATATTCACAAAGCTGATGAAGCATGGGTAGTGAGACCTGATAAGTGTATTGAATTTTGGGATGGGAGTACGAAGGATTTATTCGATGGGAAATTAAAACTTATACACACAGGCGGACATTTCGAAGGTTCACAAGTATTATATTGGCCTGAAGGAGCATCGCACCGCGGCGTATTATTAACTGGAGATGAACCTCATATTTGTATGGATTCGAAATGGGTTACATTTATGCATAGCTTTCCAAACTATATTCCGCTTAATGAACGGAAAGTTAAACGAATTATGGAACGTTTACAACTTATAGACTATGATAGACTGTATGGTGCATTCAGTAGTGGAAATAAAAGTGAAGTAATTCTTGAAAAAGCACAGAAGATCGTTCAACAATCTGGCGAACGGTATTTAAAAGCTATCTCAAACGAGTGAAACTAATGATTTTGCTTACGTAAAGAAACGTTTCAAGTAATAACCATGACTTTCAATAGCTTATTTTCGTTTTTCCGCATTAAAAGTTTTTATATGCACAATGTATGAGAAGTTCCCTTTTTTACTTGGCAAACACACTTAATATATATGATTTGATTAGCAGACCGTTTCTATTGAAATGAATCAACAACACATAATGATTTTTTTCGTGAAATATGAATACTCACGGCTGACATGATGAAATAGCAGAATCTATTTTGACACAATCGAATCGAACATCATTCTCTGAGATAGGAACAACGGACTGTTGTTAAAAACTGACATAAATATTCATTTCGTATGATTTATCATAAACTGAATGTTTATTCGATCTTTTCAAATCAAATTCAAACACTGCACGCAGATTTGTCAAGAAGAATGTAGGTGTGAGTTCATTCTTAAGTCGCGCCGACATCAACATTAACACCTTGCAATCTTAGTTGTTTATGTTAGGACGCGTGTACAATGAACAAAGATAATTTTTTTGTATTGATAGAGAAATGCATAATAACTCATAGTCGGATAATATAATAAGCAATACTATACAACAGCCTTTTATTTTCATGATAGAATCTATTGTTTTTAGTAATAGTAAGAAATTTCTTTCATGTTATTTTCAATTCAATTTGATGAAATAAACAATTATAATTCCATTTTTTGGTTGAGCCGAGGTGAAAATAGTGTAAGTATAGGGAAAAGCAATAATACAACCCATATATTCCCATGCATCTGATGTTGAAGAGTCCGCATTATAAATTTGACAGGTTTGATGCTTGTATAGCTTCAAATGTTCTACAATTAACTTAATATGTTAAGAGTCCGAATGAAGCCTGAATTCTTTCACGAGATATCTCAATATGATCCCTGTTCACCAAATACTGTTTGTGCTTGTTTCCATACAACAACTAAACCTGACATTAGTATGTGTGACAATGAATACAACAGGCAGAGAAATAGTACTCTCTCAAGAACGGAACAATCCTTTTTTCTCGTTGTTTCTGTAGAAATTCTCAGAGATAACATCTCCATCACCTATCTTAAAATAGATGGATAACGACCTCATTGATGATGCAATTCTACTCATGGCTCATGCAAACTGGCTTCTTTATTATTGCTTCGTGTTCACAACTAGTATATGAGTCCTCAACAGACCCATAGTTGAGGAAATTTTGATATTTTTATATATCATTGAAACTATAGCAATTTTTTTCCCAAGATCATGTACATGGGACTCTATTTCAAGCTAGGTCACTGAATGCCTTGAAGTCCTGTCTGTTAAAAATATTTTGGCCCATTGTTTTCTCATGTCGCTCCGTTTTTAATATTCATAGTAAAATTTCGAGAATTTTATGTTTATCAATTTTATAAAGAAAAATATTTTTCGTGTGAAAGAAAATGTCGAGATATAGTACACATCGGAGTGATATTTTTGAATTCAGTTTATATCAAAATATTTTTGTTTTGGAATAATTTTACCTAGTAAATATTCCAAGCCAATTCCTTGTCCTTCGTACCGCTGCAAGTAATCGAAAGCGATGATATGTCTTCATGGTCCGTGTTGTCAACACACATTTTATCATTCTTGTTCTGTATCTTCTTCACACTAGTATCTGGTTAAATAACTCTTTCTCTTTTCTATTCTTCTCTTCTTCGTTTATAAATGGTACCTTTCAGACTTTTTACTTTGAAGTGCGCAAGAGTTGATGAGTTGTTCTTTTCGAAAACAGCTAAACATAATAAAAAGTTAAGTATTGATTTTAACATGCACATACGTTACATTTATTGGACACAACCGTAAGCAATTTGACAAAAAAGCAGTAACATATGCAAAGCAAAATAGCTTGTTTAAATTAAATTCCTGGTACAAGTGATTGGCGTATGATTGAAGTAATATTGAACAAGGTATTCTTAGAGTATAGTTTTGGATACTTCGTTCTAGCTCTAACTTAATGAATCTGCGAAACTCCATCATTTTATGGTGCATACAGTCAAAGGAATAACATTGCTGCTCGCGATTATTTGAAAAATGAGGAAATAAGACTGATGTTGATTATGCATCAATTCCCAACAAGGAAACGAAAGTTGTGTAGTATTTTGCAGTTTTTGGAGGTTTCTATCTTGTTCTGTGTACTGCAAAAAGCATGAAATAGAATAGATCAAGCATATGGAACAATGATGTTATTACGTCGACGAAATCGAACTACTACGTTACTAGAAACATTGACAAACAGTGGAACAATAAAGCGAATAATTAGTGTAAGTCCTCCGTGAAGACCCAATAAGGTTGTTATAACTTGCAGAGCAGTTTTTCCTTGTGATCCTAAGTAAGTGCACATCAAAGGTTGACACCGTGAGTAGAAAGCCGAATAAGATAAACTGTGTGTCCACTCTTCAATAAATGCATTCCTTGATAATTCTTCGACGGTACTATTGAACATATATTGGCTAGGTATTGAAGTATTCAAAGAATAGATGGACGATAAATTTCCTGTATTTATCAAATCAACACATGCTTGATTGTACAAGCACTGTAGACTAGAGCGAAGAAGAGATTCTAGTGGAAAACAACCAAGAACAAAACCAGGTATTAATTGATCGCCGATGAAAACAGATTCAGTACACGCTAACGATGTAGCACAGGAACAGTTCAATCCATGGGAAACTGGTTTGATTGTAGCGGGGTTGAGAAACGTTGTTTCATCTGGACCCACCGAGAAAGCCCAGTTAAAAGATAAAACAGTGATAATTTGATTGATCTGCACTACTGAACGGGCCCCAAGAACTCCAATGATATAACTGATTGGGTTCCAATACTGTCTCGCATATAGACTGTTGTCAATCATTTCATGAAGCTGTTCTTTGGATAAAACATTAATCTTAAATAGTTGTACACTCTGAAACTCAGAGATGGCACGATTAACCAGTCGTTGAGTCATGCCACATAGTGTCTGCAGAACCAGAAAAATGGTAGTACTGTGAATACGAAAATCATTCTTCGCTAAATTAGACCAATTACCGTCACCAAAAATATTATTTATCCAACTTGACTCTATGAATTGACTATGGTAAACTTGATGAATTCGCACATTTAGTACTACGAATGAACCGTAGTTGAAGTATATTTGTGAGCAAGGGCATTGAAGCGACGAATTGAAATAGAGATCGAGCTCTTCATATTTTGCTTGTGTTGGTTGTTCAACGCTAATCGTGATCGCATCTTTAGACATTGAATTGTATACCAGAAAAAATCCAAAGACGACCATACATAAGAATAGATATAATCGTGTAGTATACAGCTCAATTTTAAGAGTTAAGGGAGATGATTTTCGTCGGTTATAAAAGTAGTTTAGATTGAGCAACTTGTCGCGCAATCTTTGCAGCACATGAAGAAAGACTCGTCCATCTATAAAAAGAATTAATATCAGAAAAAGTTACTATATTTCACTCAACTGGAAATAGAACAATGAATATATCCTGTAAAAATTATTTTTTCGAAGAGTAGAAATAGACTCTGAATATGTAGTTAACATATTAGCAACTTTTTTTTCTACTGAAATACTTATAGATCTGCTGCGTTTTTTCATTTGTGATATACTAAAAGCGTTTACTTTGAAATATGTAAGTAAACGAATAAAAAGAGAAATGTCGGATTGAACGTTTTAATTTTTTCTGGTCATTTTTGGATGCTAACCATAGTTATTAACTCTCAGCTAAAGACGGTCAAGAAAAGAAGACGTTAAAATAAAGGATTTTTCAATATCTAAATTTTTGCAGTCTATTTTCGATGCTCTCGGAGTAAACAAACATATACAGAATCCCAATTAAGTACTGAATAGGTCGAAATTTTTGAGCGCTAACAGGAGTACATAGAACAGCGACTATAAAAATGTTCATCAACACTCTACAGCCTGTATGCAAACGCGCACATATAACGAAATCACAAAGAATATTTGTGTACAGGTTCAAAATTTACACTTGATACTAGTTTCCACATCCGTTTTCAAAAGGTGAATGTAAAAATTATCAATGAATGTTTTCGATGACTAAATATGTTTTTTTTACAATTCCTGTCGGCTTGAGTACAAATATGAACCATTATGTCTATGGCTACCTTTAAGCATTAGTTTTTTAGAAGGAATATCCTGCAAACGTTTAGCGTGACCTACTAACTCACGTAAACGGTTCAACAAACGACATAAATTATGCGTCTGTTTCTGTAAAGATAACAAGAAGCTGTTTACCCTCTGTTTTCGAAACGAATTTTTCATAGAAAAACAAAAGATCATTTGAAATTTAGGTAATCGAGATAGTCAGAAAATCATTCATTGTCTTGAAAAGTTTTATGTCAACTGATTTTACAACCGATGCTGTTCAAGTAAATTTGTATTTTGATGCTGTAGAGAAGGAGATTCTTCTCCCTTGTTATTAGGGTCTTCAAACTCGACTGCATTCGTTAACTATTCAGATTTCAAGAAAAAAATAAAATTGCATTGAAAAGTCTGATTTATTTACTACAAGAATTCTCTAAAAAATACACTGCTGTGTCTTCAGTATGAGTTAAATGCTGACAGAACACATTGGTATGTTGTTGAACATTAGAATCTTAAAATATCTAATTATATTTTTCTATTTCAATGACCATTATTTCTTTCTATTTTTGCGCAATGCTTAAATATTTTAAATCTCTATATTCATATACAAGAGTTTAATACCTAAAGTTTTGAGTGCTACACATGTATAAAGGTAACGGATATTTTAGTATTCTAGAAGTAAATCATTATCTTCAAAATGAGAAATTTCTATTAATAATTCAAAATAAGTGTGCGAGACTTGTTCTTCAATGAAAGTTAAGTGGAACCAATCTTCACGGTACTCTTTATTATGTAAACTTAGAACATGAGGAGAGCCCACGAAGGACCTGGATCTATCAAAGTCGAAAATTCATGTGGCTTTAGTTTGAA